CACACATAGACAAACACACACACACACACACACACACACACACACCACACACACACATATATATATATAGGCAATGATGTGCAAATCATTTAAACTCTATATTTAATTGAAAATAGTACAAAGACTACTATTGTTTTTTGAAAAATATATGCGCATTTTGGTCTTCTTTGTCAAATGTTTTTAGTGTGTGACAGTCTGGACAGCAGGCAGGCCAGTTTAGCACCCGGACTCTCTTACAGTGCCATGCTGTTGTAATACGTGCAGAATGTGGTTTTGCATTGTCTTGCTGAAATAAGCAAAGCCTTCCATGAAAAAGACATTGTCTGGATGGCAGCGTATGTTGCTCCAAAACCTGTATATATTGATCAGCATTTATAGTGCCTTCACAGATGTGCAAGTCACCCATGCAATGTGTACTAATGCATCCCTATACTATCACGGATGCTGGCTTTTGAACTGTGCACTGAGAACAAGCCGAATGGTCCCTCTCCTCTTGAACGTGGAAGACGCAGCGTCCATGATTTCCAAGAAGAACTTCAATTTTTGATTCGTCAGACCACAGGACAATTTTCCACCTCAACTCAGTCCATCTTAAATGAGCTCAGGCCCAGAGAAGGCAGCAGCTTTTCTGGACCCTGTTTACATATGGTTTCTTCTTTGCATGTAAACTGTGTTAACAGACAGTTTTTTTTGGAAGTGTTCCTGAGCCCATACAGTCATTTCCACTACAGAATCAAATCTGTTTTGAATACAGTGAATCTGTTTTGAATGCAGTGCCGCCTGAGGGCCCAAAGATCATCCAGTATTTGTTTGCGGCCTTGCATACAGAGATTTCTCCGGATTCTTATGATTCATTATGAAATGTAGATGATGAAATCCCCAAGTTCTTTGCTATTTTACGTTGAGAAACATTATTCTGGAATTGTTGCACTGTTTGCCCACACAGTGTTTCACAGAGTGGTGAACCTCTCCTCATCTTCTGAAAGACTAGGCCTTTCTGGAATGCTGTTTTCATACCCAATCATGTTACTGACCTGTTGCCAGTTAACCTAAATAGTTGTGATGTTTCACCAATTTTTTTTTAGCATTACACAAATTTACCTCTGGATGGACAAGGCCACTGTCCCAACTTTTTTGAAACATGTTGCTGGCATCAAATTCAAAATGGGCATTTATTTACAAAAAACAATAAAATGTCTCAGTTTTAACATGTTGTCTTTGTACTATTATGAATTAAATGTGGGTTTTACTTGATTTGCACTTCTTTGCACATTTTGCATTTATATTTTGCACGGTGTTCCAACTTTTTTAGAAACAGGGCTGTGTGTATATATTGAGGTTGCATTCTGTGCATCCAGTCAAATCCTTCCACACCAAACTCTGCAGCCCATTTTTTAAATTTTGCATTGTGCATGGGGGTTTTATCATGCTCAAACAGGAAGACACCTTCTCCAAGCTAAATGTTATCATTATTCTTCCTTTACCAAACTTGGACACTTGGGCAGGCAGTGTCCTCCAGTCATGAGCTAAACTCAGATTCAGTTTTTTGCAATGTTGCTTCCAGAGGCAGTTTGGAACTTGGTAGTGAGGGTTTCAACCAATGACAGGTGATTTTTTACACACTACCTGCTTCAACACCCTTCAATGCTGTGAGGCTGAGCTGTTTTTGCTCCTAAACTAGTGGTTCCTAAAATCAGTCCTGGAGACTTAATTATTTTTTGTATCCCAACTCTAACATACCTGATCCATGAGAAGCATTTTAAAAAGCCAATGAGCTGAATAAGGCATGCTAGATTAGGAAAATGTGCAATGTCCTCAATACATTTTGATAAATTGACTTGTTGGAAAGATGACATACCATGACAGTGCCACTCAGTATGACCAATGCTACTGCCAGTGTTTGTCTATGGAGATTGTGTGGTTGTGTGCAATATTGAGCTTGGTGCCAAGTGTGTTTTATCTGTAAAAACACTGTATGACGTTTGAACAGATCCAAAAAAACATATATATGTATTTGTTCTGTAATTCCATCTGATTTAATTTACCGAGGGATTGATTAGCCAAACCAGGCACTGGATTGTAACTGGACTTTTTCAAGAACATGTTCAGAAATGACTAAAATTACACACTGACAGACATTAAATCACAATGTGTTGTTTATCTGTATTTATACTAATGTTATTTAAAATAATAAATGCTTAATGCCCAGACAAACAGCCTTACATATCATTTTCTCAGATTGCCTGTTAAGATATAAGTTTACAGTCTTATCTGCAAAGGGCCAATGTAGCTACAGGTTTTCATTCCAACAGCAGGAGCATACACGGTAAATTGTTTGAAGACTGACACCAACTGATAAATCAAGTAATCAAGTCAGGTGTGCTCTGGCTTGATTGGAATAAAGGCCTGCAGCCTCACCAGCCATTTGCAGATAAGACTGGACACCCTGACTTCTGCACAGTACTGTATATGTGCAGCTATTTATAGTGAAATACTGGTGTACTAAGTTGAAAAGGTGATCCAGAACTTAAAAAACATTCTGATGCAATCAAGCACCATTACTGTGCTACCTATGATAATTCTGGGAAACTACAATGCAGAAACGCATATACGCACACATTCCTCCACTGAAGGTTGGTGCCAGAAGCTAAGACGCGTGAACTGAGGTGAGTCCAGATCAAACAAGGGTGTCTCAGAGGGGATGAGATACGAGTGTGCTGCCCTCTTCTTCAAAAGGTTAAAGGTCACTCCACCTCTCCTCTTCCCCTGCATGCCGGATGGAGCTGTAGCCAGGTCAACTGAGGTTCAAGCACTGCTGAACAGTTCTAAAGCAAAGGGAGTACCAACTCTCAGTGCATATGGCACAAGAGCACTTTCAGGAACACAAGAACTCTGCTACACTTTTGTGCTTTGTTGTCACACTTATAGACTGTACAACTTCTTGTAGTAAGAAGCTACTTTAATAGTGTGTTAACATTCTCTTCTAACTATGTGCTTACATAGCAAAATCATATCCAAAATTCTTCTTTCTGCTGTCAGATTTATCAGTGATGAATGAAATGTGATAATGTTTCATGATGGCTTTTCTTAATAAAATGCATCTGTCCATGAACAGAATGAGCAATTCTGGAAATTCTTCTGCCTTCTCAGAGAGAGTAAGAGAGAGAGAGAGAGAGAGAGAGAGAGAGAGAGAGAGAGAGAGAGAGAGAGAGAGATTGGGATTGGGCAATGACACAGTGCAGGTCTCCTGGCAGGTCATCAGTGTTCTGTACACCGCAGTAATCTCTCTGAAAAAGTGCAGGACCAAAGAGAGGGAGCAAGACCGAGCCAGAGCCAGATGGAGCTGGACAGCTATGTGTGTGTTTTGCTGTGGAAGCTCTACATCACCCTAAGCCTTCACCTGCCTCTCTCATTGGGACCTCTCCATAAACAGCAGGTCTCCAGCTTGCTGACCTGATTTGATTGCCTTCGGCCACAAAAGCGTAAGTGAGATCAGCTACTGATGTTGTATGATTAGATCTGGATCACAAACCCCACTGCAAACTATTGGATGAAGCTCCATCACACCAGAAAACAATGTTCCACTGCGCCACTCGCCCAATGCTGGGGGGCTTTACATCCCTCTATGGCACTGAACACAGTGACCTTAGTGTAGCTGCTCCAGTGCGTACCATTCTATTGCAAATGCTTTACTATGGAAATGATATCCTAATGCCTGTGGCAGTAAAGGCTGCAAGGGCCATTTCTTGCTTTCAATCTGTTTCATATTATTTACTATTTCTTTAACCACTGTCCACTGAATATAGTACTGCGCAAAAGTCAGAGACCAACTTTCATCTGTTTATTTTCCTGCCAAAATGGTCTTTAAGTACAAGTTATGGATTTTAGAGGATATTAGATATAAGATAATCCGCTTGCATAAGGAAGGGGGAAGTCAAAGGAAAATGAGTGAAAATAAAAAACAAAAAAAATTAAGACATATAGAGAATATGGAATTTCTAACAACTGTGCGAGACCTAGTAGACCATCAAAACTGTCACCATCAGATAAAGAGTACTTAAAGCTTTTTTTTGTCTTTGAAAGATTCACTGTGAGAAAACAACACTGTCTGAAAGGATGTGTAATTGTCTACCTAAGCTGTTACTTAGAATAGACAAAAATAGAACATTTGCAAATCAAACCATCCCAGAATCCAGACCTTAACATCACTGAACATGTTCAGGATTACTTGGATCATGAAAATACAACCAACTTCTAAGACTAAACTTTGGAGGTGTGGAAAAGTTTCCCTACAGATTTCATTGAAAAATTGAAAGCAAGCGTCCTGTAAAGAATATGAGCTATAATAAAGACAAAGAGTGGAAAATGTTAATGTGATATAGCTATTGAGGGTTTTGTGTAATTTCAATAAACAAATAAATAAAACTGTGATCTCTGACTTTTACACAGCTCTGTATAGGTGTTTATTTTAGATTTTATCACATTTCCTTCCTGATCAGAAATAATTTCTTGCATGCAAAATAATAAGACTGAGAGGTCTCAAGTAGGATGTCACAAAATGTTCAGAAAGTGTTTTAAAGTAGCTGAATTCACTAATTAGGAGGCCTGTCTGGATACTTCTGGACACATAACGTAAATGAGTGAACAAAATATGAATGAACAAAATATTCTAATATTTTTCCCCTCAGAACAAACTTAGATATCTTTCTCAGCAGTGATCCAAACCCTCTGCTCTGGTGTCATGTTTCCAACCAAAACCACTGACAGTGACACTGAAGAAGATAAACTGATTTCTTGGACAAATGAATATGAATGACCTCAGTCATCACAGCTGAGTAATCTAGTGAGACATGAATCCTAAATTATGGCCCCCAGAGGCTTCACTGCACTGTTGGTTGCCAAACCGTGGAAGTGAGCGCATGTAGCCACTGGTGAAAGTTCCGTTTTTGACCTCTGTATTGATGCTCGCAGCAATTTCTCCTCGAAGTCGTACTTCACATGCATGGTTACTTCCGTGTCCCTCAGGCAGTCAGGCTACTTGAAGCTTCCGTGTTTCGAAGGCTATCGTGGCCGGAGAGCTGTGGAGATATGAGGTCCATCCCCGAGGATTTAGCTACGCTCGTCTCAGGTAGCAGCTCGAACTGAGGGAACTCGGTGATGACTCTGAATATAGCAGCTTCCAAAAACCTTTAAACTGGAGCAGTAGAGAGACAGCGCCGAAACTTTTGTTCACGTTTATTTGGCAGAAAAGAGGAAGTTGAGACCAAGTACTGGACGATGTGTGAGAGAAGTGCTAAAACGTAAACCGAGCCCGAATGAATTGGAAAGTGCTTGTCTTCAGCTAACCAGGCTAGCGTTCAGTTTTGTTATTCTGACTCCTGAGTGAACTGTTGTAGTGCCAGACGAGAGCCAACGGCTAAAAAATCATTTTAGTGCTTTAGAATTTATGTTTATGTTGTATGTATGCAGGGTAACCTAGAATCAGCAGTCAGTGGCTGCGTATCAGCTTTGTATGGCTCAGTTTCAGATGAAGAGATGTGCTGATACGCTCTGTTGCTGTATATGCTTTATATGTAGCCATTTTTGATGTCATATATACTTAGTTGATAGCCTGAGGCCACACAATCCTTCAGCACAACCGAATTCAGTAAAGAGGCAGCTATATTTCAGCTATATTTTAAGGATAAACTCTGTTTTCAGATTTGGAAACCTTTCTGGCAGACATCCTGAAAGGTGAGAATTTGAGTAAGAGGGCAAAAGAGAAAAAGGATGCTTTTATCAAGAGGATCAAGGATATCAAAGCCAGGTATGAAGATCACACTGAAGTATGGCACATAATATTTTATAAAGTTTATAAAGATTTCTGCTATGTTGATATAATAATTCAGTTTTAAAATGTCCATTTTTTCCAGTTACCCTCAGGATTTCAAGGATAAACGTAAGTTTTTGGGTGTTTGTGTTTGTGCTTGATGGACTGGTGGGTATTACAGGAATAGGGAAGTGGAGGACTATCTATTTTTAACCAGACTGTCCGCACAGACTTAATCAACCGAATGCTTTGTAGGGAATTTTAAACATGTTAATCATTATACAGATTACATGTGTACTGTAAGTAAACTCCCTATTCAGATCTATTCAGCAGCAGCATACATGAGATGAAAGCACCTCTGTGTTATCTTTGGTGATTCTATGTCAAGCTTGATAGAGGAAGCTGCTATGTGCTTTCATTGGCAAGAACCGAAACCCCAGAGCCTAAGTGCTTGCACTTTTGCCTTCACTAAGCTGTGTTCAAGAGATATAACTTATGTTCCTACAAGCAGAGGTCAGTTTCCTATTGACCTCAGAAATCTGCTTACAGTTTTACATGTTTCCAGTTTGTCTTTTGTGCTAAAACAAAAGTATTTTCATAGACTTTTCTCCATGCTGGTAGAGTGGTGGATGTTAGAAACGTGACGTTGAAGCCACTTCCCCAAGCGTTGTGCTATTTGCACATATTTTCCTAAACAGATTATCATAGTTACCCTGTATATTCCTTTAGTTGTAATAGCATGACAAGGCTGGTGTAACAGGTGCACTATTTACCCATAGCCTACATTTGGCTATCCAAACTCTATGCAAAGTGTTGTATCTTTTGTAAGTCTGCATCATTTGGTTGATCGCTATTGTCCACACAATACCAGTTTAAGAAAATCATTGCTATGTGCCTTTCAGGCATGACATTAAATTCTGCAGGCAATCTGATGCACAAGTATCCATCTTGCACCGTGCACATGTAATCGCAATGGAGAAAGCTCAGCTTGTTGTTAAACATCCACTCCACTGTGAGGTGATGGTGTGGTATGCCTGCTGCTTTGTGGACTGATGAGGGCTTTGTCACGTAGGAGATGAAGAGTGGGATGATCTTGATGAAGCAGACAGCAACAACGACGGTGGATCGCTGCACTCAGAGCGAACGGATAGAGATGAAGACACAGCATATGATGGTGGGTACAACACTAATGTCTGTACACAGGGTGAAAGGCAAAGAATACCCTTGGCCACAGATAGCATATGGCATACATGAGATGAAGAAATGCTTTCATTTTTTTGTCAGAGAAGAGTGTTGTTTTACAGCGTTGGGTAGTAATGGATTATATGTATTATGGATTATGTAATCTGATTATTAAAATTAAGTGCAATCAAATCAAATGTACATAGTCAGATTATAGATACTTGTTATGAGTTCTGAAGGCTTTTGTTTTTGATTAGGCTGCATCAGTAAATAAGTCTGTTAATTCATAATTTACTGAATATGCCCATAATCTGCATAATGACTGTCACTATGGCTGATATCAATACTTATGTGTAGTTTTGGCAGAAAGAAAGTGGAGGGCATATTAGGGCTGTACAATATCTTCAATTGGTTAAATGTTTACATAAGCAGTTTATAAATTGTAAACTTTGTGGTTACAAACTTCACAGTTATATAAGATAAGTAGTTCAAAAAGAGTTAAAAAATAGTAAGATTAGATTTACTTGAATTCCTATATTTTTCTTTTTTCCCCTCACCTGAGCTCTACATGTAATGTTTGTATGATTTTATGTACAATACTATACAAAAGGTTTGGGCAGCCCGGTTAAACTACATGTTATGTTGCTTTTCTGAGTGAAACTAAGTTAACACGCTACTGCACACTCTAATGCATAATTACTGTTAATATGTTTAACTCACAAATAAATAGAAACTGTGCACTAATATGTGCAGTATGTGTTATATGTAAGTTTATGTTCTGTAGAGGATGCGTTAACTTATTTTCACTTAGAAGATCGACATAATGTAATGAGACTGGGAGTGTTTAAACTTTTGCTGTAACAAAAACAGTCTCACTTTAATTCACTTTAACATGAACATGTAGAATTAACCAGGCTTTTTTCATTACTGTCCTGCTTATGGCTGTAGGATGTAAATCTTTTTATGACATCACAGAGACATTGGTTTAATTTTTTTGCACCAGACAGTATATGGTATGTTTTAGACGATGCCAACATTTACATACTATGTCAAACTGTTTCCTCCAAAAAAAGTGAGGGAAATTAGGATTCTAGGATATAGGCCCTTTTGTATAATCTATACAATTTTTTCCAGTTTCCAGTTTTAGTCATGTAATTGCTTATCAGTACTGGAATGCATGTCTTAAGTAATCTACCCAACACTGACTGTTTATATGATGACTGCTTGGACACTGGACACTGCTGAATGAACACGGTTGCTTTCATTACCACCAAAATAATCCACCAGTAGAATCTAGTTCAGCACAAGTTCCAATTTATGTCAACATTTCCAACCCATCAGAAAAGACTGTATTTCAGTATAGCGCTCTATCAAACACAATGCCCGTTTGTCTTTCATCTAACCGTGTACTTGCTTTGCGCTCTCTCAGGGAGTTGTAGAAAAGTACATGAGCTGAAACAATGGGTGTTGTAGCCCAGCAACAGGCCTGGGAATGACTAAAAAGCACTGGCGAGACTGCGCGCTCCTTTTGTCCAGGCACCAATGCTTTATGACATGAACCTCAGACAATGCCGCCCACAGCCAATGTCATTTCAGTCGCCCGGTTTTATTGGGCGCAGCTCAGAGAACACTATTGGATGAGGCTAAACCAAAGACAACAACCAGTAAATCTAATGTTTCAAATTGGGATGCATTTCTTATCACATGGGCCACTTGTAGGCTCTGCCAGCATTGTTGGAGCATGCAGATGGATGTTGCAGCATGTATGTTTTGTCCGTGTGTATTTTGTGTATGCATGTCTGTCTTTGTGTGTCCGTCTGGCTGTGCTAGGGTGCTATGAGTTTTACTGCTCTGGAGCATTAAGGTGTTTTATAGGCCCTTTTGCCCTCAGCCTGCCTGATAGCACAGCTGCTCTTGCACCCATGAACCAGTGCTGCTTTTCAGGGATGAGATTAAGCACACGTGCAGATCAAACTAGGGAGGAAAAAATGTTTTCAGTTGGCTTGTCTCCTATTAAAATGAACAACTATTTTTCCTGATTAAAAATAAACAGACTAAAATATCTCTTTTTGGATGTTCTTAAAGCATAAATATGTTGTGATCACAACTGCCAAGGTCAGTCTCATTATCACCAAGAGGCAATGCACTGCTGCTTTCTCCTTTTTTGTTCTTGCACAAGATTGTGTGAGTACTCACACATTGCTGTTGCTGGTGCATTTTTTATGTGACTGTAGAAGCAGCTAATTTTGGATGTGGCTATCAGCTTACTTTCAAAATGTCCCTGCACTACAGCTCTGATAGTGACAGTCCATGCTTTGTTTGTGTATATCATCTCCAGGCTTGTCCCTAGGTCATTAGAAAAGTAGTAGAATACTCTGAGATGAAACTTTATCCTTGGTGATCTTTGAAAACCTTAAATGATTGCTTGAAGGTACAATATTTAAATGATTACATTTTCATGCATGTCTTACTGACTGTTTGTTAACCTTGTTTCTGAGAATGCTTACACACAAGGCCCAGTTGTCTGGTTCATTCTCTGCGGACTGTATTTTCTGCCTCTTTGTCAGCCGTAGTGATGGTGGTATGGTAGATGTATCTCAAAGGTCATTCATAAGTCATCTGCTCTCTCATGCTCACTCAGCCATGCAAATAGAGGAATACACAACTGGGTTAGGTGGATTGCCCAGTTTTGCAATGCAAAAATGGGACACATATGCACTGTATTCTGATGAATCTGTGAGTATAGAGAGTATAGGCCTTACCAGTCTGCTCAAATAGAGCAAACCAGCAGGCATGATTGAGCAACCTTGTTTTACAGAAGCTTTCGTAATGCTTTCTTTGAATTTACCGTTTTTAGTGACTAAAGCTGTGAGACCAGTACAAATACAGCAAACTGTATTCTAAGACCCTGTGTGTTGGGTTTCTTCAGGAGTTCAGCAGGCACCTCCTGTGGCAGCTCAGGATCTCCAAGCTGTCTTCAAGAGTGGCTACCTAGAGAAACGCAGAAAAGGTGGGAAGAACCAGGAATTTTGTAAACATATTGCATGTCAGACAGTGTCTTTTCCTGTACTGTAACCTGTAATTTTCACCTTTTTGCAGACCACAGCTTCTTTGGCACAGAATGGCAGAAGAGATGGTGTGCTCTAAGCAGCCGCACATTCTATTATTATGGCAGCGAGAAAGGTGCAATCATATTATGATATTAGCTATTCCACATTGATAAATTGAACAGAATGCATTTTTTTTTTACAATTTTACTGTCAATGTACAATACTGTGCAGAAGTCAGAGACTGCTTTCATTTATTTTATTTCCATTCAAAACGGCCTAGTTCTAAAGAGATTTAGACATAAGATTATCCACTTACGTAAGGAAAGGGAATGTCGAAGGAAAAAAAATCAAGAGCTTCCAAAACTACAGTTCTAAAAATAAGTTTTTTATCTTTGAGGAAAAAATCAAGCTCTACTCTTGCTTCAGATTTGAAAAAAATTCCACAAATGTTTCTGTCCATCTTTCCACTGTGAGAAGACAGCTCAACACTATGAGTCTGAAAGGATGTGTAGCTGTCAAGCAGCTGTTACTGAGCTATGAAAACAGACAAAAAAGAAGAAAATTTGCAAATCAGACAAAGACGCTGCTGGTGTTTGGGATGTTTGAATCTGTTTGGGATTATTTGGATCATGAGAAGCAGAAAATTCAACCAACTTCTAAGAGCGGGTTGTAGAAATGTATCTCTGCAGATTTCTTTGAAAAGCTGAAAGCACGTTTCCTTAAGTTGTAACAAAGGCACAGGAACAACATAGTAAATACTGAAAAATGTTTATATGTTTGTTTTAACTATTTCATTTTTAACTCAATTCTGTTAATTGTGTTTTCTGCTTTTTCCTGATGCTGAAAAACTTAATTACTGGCCATTGCGACTGAAAATTAAATACATTAAGGGTGTTCTCAGACGTTTGCACAGCACTGAAGAGTTTAAGATGTGTAAGATTAACAATGTGTAGAGTGAATAACTATTTCTGCTAAATCTGATATTATCTCGTTAGATAAGCAGCAGAAGGGAGATTTTAATATTGATGGTTACACTGTCAAAATGAACAACACCCTACGCAAGGATTCTAAGAAAGACTGCTGCTTTGAGATATCTGCTCCGGACAAACGTGTTTACCAGGTAGATATGATCTGCTAATCTCAACTTCACCCTACCTGTTTAAACAGTAATATGGAGGTTTCTAATGTATGTTTGGGGCTTTTGTTATTGTAGCTAATCATTACCACTCCCTGCTCTTGCCTCCTCTAGTTCTGTGCTGGCTCTCAAAAAGAAGCAGAGGAGTGGGTGGAGCAGATAGGCTTCGTGATAAAAGGTAGGATTGTTTTTTTATTTTGGTTAACTTGTTTGTTTGCCATTTGCTCTCACAGTACACTGTAGGTCAACCAGTAAATATATCTGTATTCACGCACAGATATGGAAGGCATCATTCCTTTGGAGGAAGAGGGGGAAACCTATGATGATTGCTTACCTTTGAGTGCAGCAAGCATGTCTGAACCAATTGATGAGGACATCTATGAGGAACTTCCTGGTTTGCCATTTTATAAACTCATTCTGTTAAAGTTTAGTTCAAGAGGAAGAAAGGGCCCTAGATAACCAGTGCAAAAGGCTGATTCTACTGTATATAGAGATTTAGGATCATGAGCCCATAAAGGAAAGTACTGCACTTCCTGATAGTTGTGTTGGCTTATATGATTAATATGAATCCCTTTCTTTCATAGATGACATTAGCATGTCCATTACCTAAATGTAAAATTTAGAAGATATTCAGTATTTTATTGTTCTCCTTGGACCTTTGCATAAAACTGATAATTTCTTGTCTATCATAGAGGATGAGATACCTCTTCCTAAGAAACCGTTACCGCAGCCAGTCAGCAAACCCCCTGTAGCAGCACCAGTGACAGGTAATTAAGCTGAGGCCGCCGAGCCTCTCCATACTCTCTCTGCCCTGCAGACCTTTGCTGTGGTGCCGTCCCACTGTCCACTAGTGTATGCTGGCCATCACAGATTTACCCTGGCCTTTGTCTGCTTTGCTTGTGCTTCTGGGTTTTTAATCCGGTGCTTTATTAAAAGGTAGAAAGAGATTTTGGAAAAGAGGTGGATGGATGAGTGCTGGAAATAGGGGGAAAAAGGGGCCATGGGCCAGAGAATGAGTGATTGAGGTAGTGGAGGGAAGAGCGAGGGAGGTGAACGGAGAGATAAGAGGTAGAAAGGATGAGTAGATGATTGGTTTGAGAGAGGTAGAGGGATTGGGTGAAATGAAGCTGATGACATTAGTAGGAGGGTTGTCTGAACTACAGGAACCAGCTGGAGGAAGATATGGCCCCTTAGGAAGCTCTTTGAGGTTCAGCAGCATTGGACTGCTCTCAGACCTGTAAATGCTGCCTTCTCTTCTCATTTACTGCACCATAGAGCTGTTTTTTTCCACATCAATATATGATTTACTTTAAAGAGTCCATATCCTAAATTTTTCTTGCATTTTAGTTTTCTTCCCTGAGGCCATCTTGTAATATTTGTGTGGTTTTATGTTCTGAGAACAGTCATTATTTAGTTTTTCTTGACAATTTTCCAGCCACTCTTAGAGATAAACAGGCTGTTTTAGTTGCTCTGCCTTTAAGACTGATATATGCAAATGAGCACTGTTCTGATTGGCTGTGCCTCGTTCAAATAGCAGTCTAGGCTAAAATACTCCTTATGAGCTTAGCTGAATGAGGCTAGCCTGCTGTAGGCTGAATAGGTGGATGTATGTAAATGTGTTGGTTTTCATGACATCACAAAAACAACGAATATGATGCAGACTGTTTTATCAGCTTAGTTTCCATATTTGGACTGTATGGACTGGGAAGTGAATAGTATTAATTTTTTTTAAAACTGTAGCAGTGTTCACATATTAAATAAAACTCTTATTTCATAAAATTGAGGAATGTTTGTTTCTCCATGAGATGGGTCCTATAAAATATGAACTACATGTTTTAGTGCTCTGCTCTGCTGTGGTGCATACTGGTTTATAGGCAGTTTTTCTGGGGTTTTGTGGCCTTGTCTGAGAGCAGCGTGTGCCCTGCCGAGTGTTGGCCGCTGGGCAGGGCTGGGTAGGCACTGACAGGAAGTGGAGTGGAGGGGCTGCCAGTGGCGCGCTGTGGCCCTCCCTGGCCCTCTGCTCTCGGCTCACAGCACAGGAAGTCCTGCTGACAGGAGCCATGGCTCAGGCAGGATCTCGTGACAGATGCTTAGGAAAGCAGGCCAGCTAATGCAGCAGAGACAAGCATGGTGTTGGTAAAACAAAAAAGGGCTTACAGCTACCGCCATAAACTACATTCAGTGGGATCTCGCTTATCTTTGGCAAAGCATGAACTCATTTTAATCAGTTTGATACGGATCAGAACTTGACAGCTAAGCGTCTCTCTCCAAGTTTTGCCATTAGTGAACCGCTAGCTTTCTGTTTTTTGTTTGTTTGTTTTTTTTGTTATTTACTAAATGCATTTGGAAGAAGACATTGCATCAGTTACTAAAACACAAATACCAGTATGGCTGTCTTAACAGTCTTTCAAAACACAAGATGAGGAAAGCTCCCTTGTAGTGAAAATTGGCAAGACCTGACATGAGAAAGGAAGTGCACAGTCAGCTTTTGGTATCTTTTATACTTGAATGGTTATATGTTAGATAACTATCACATAACCGAACATATTCATAGTGCAAACATTTTGACACTGTCCTGTTTAGGCTTTTGTTATATCAATGTTCTTAACAATGATTAACGCTCTGTCGAATTGTAAAGTGTTTTGAGAATTTTTTATTTCTAGTTTTTATACTTAATCTTTTATGATCTATAAAGTTGTCTCATAAAAAATCCTAAATAGTCTCTTTTGGTAGGCAGTCTGATAACAGCATTTGCTGTGCCAGGGAAGCATGCTGCTGGTTTTTGGTCACTTCCTCAGCCTCAGAACAATTATTGCTCTCTGCTGCCCACTGCTGGACATTTGTAGTAATGGCACTGTCCTTTCTTTTTGACTAAATGTTCTAGGCCTTATAATTTAATTCGGGTTGATTTATTTAGTTTATAACTTCTATTTCCCCTCACTCTTTAGCGGCAAATAAGAGCACAGACTACAAGAACTACTTCCAAGGTTTGTGGGACTGCAATGGAGACCAGCCTGATGAGCTATCATTCAAGAGAGGAGATGCCATCTACATCCTCAGCAAGGTATGACAGCATAAACATCAGTTTTTATTTTACCTCTTTAAATGAAGTTTAAATGAAGTAAGTGTGCGTATGTGTGTGATATATATATATATATATATATATATATATATATATATATATATATATATATATATATATATATATATATATGTCTGTGTAAAAGCCCCCTATGCCCGCTTTAGCATATTGCCCCAAAAATATTATATATTAGACTTTTTTCAAAAAAGTTTTTCACTGACGTTCTGGCATTCATGTTACATGCTAGCTATGGTGATTGTTAGCTAAAATTACAAAACATTTTTTGTCGTCTTGCTGGAGAGGAGTTTGTATGTGGGTTTCGCAGTTGGACACATCTAATTTGCGATTTCTAATAACTTATCATTGCTCGCCCAATAGTGCCCCGAATGATCTGTTTTTAGGCTATGAAAACAAAATTTACTGTCATCATCATCATCCTGTACATACTACGCTCATGCACAGCTATGGTTTAGCTTCACAGTAAGTGTTCTTAAGGGGGTATTTTTCCCCTGTTTTTCCTCCTCTGTATTTCTAGTTATAACTCTACATTTATTGGGATATGATGATGGTAAGTGTGAAGCGTCATAAACTGCAGTGTTTTGCATGTTAATCTAAGGATTAGTTTCTCTGTCAGTGGTACTGAGCTACAGTCCGAGTGTCAGACCGAGATGAACCTTCTCCCAGTGTGCAGTGATGGGATTAGTCTTGTCACTGCGGAAACCGTTTTAGTGCTTTTGGCCTGGAGTCTAGTGGGCTGGCAGCCTGTAGCATTCTGCCACCTCCACTTCTCCTTCCATCGTGTGTGTGTGTGTACGTGCAAGCGTTTTTCAGCAGTGTTGTGCTGAGAGGCTCAGTGCCATGTTCGGTTAGGGCCGCTGTCCGCAGACCTTTAGCATGGCTGTGTCGCTCCCTCTCACTGTTTATGCCTTTAATGCCAGTTTGTGTTCTCAGGAAGTTCTGAATCCAGCTCTAGATTTGCACCAGGTGTGCTGGAGAATAACTTCTTATACCTGTCAGCTGTGATGTGCAGGCCAGCTGCGCAGAGCCCAGCACTGAGGTCTGGACTTGGCTAAAAGGATTAGCTAGATAACCTTCAGGTTAACATAACATAAGGCTGACTTTTTGGTGCTTAACATTGCACTTCTGCCTTTGGGACCTTGATCTGTATTATTTAAAAAACAAAACCTGAAGCAAATTTTCTGCATTATCATTCTTATGCCGGTTCCCTCTCTTTTTTGTGCCTCATCTTTTGAGTCTGAAATGGATCATGACTAAAGCATTACAGCAGTCTAATATCCTGGGCTGTTTTCTAACCCAATGCCTTTTAGACATGAAGAAAGTGGCAAAAAGGAGACAGTGAGTGCATTATGCTTGTGGATTTTCCTCAGTTCATTCACATTCTCAAAACACTCTGAGGCATACAAAGAGAGCATACATTAGCCATCTCTGTAAAACAAGATAATGTATCATCACAAGAAGTGCAGATGGTGACCCATTTTCAGAAATGTCAAAAAAATCCATAATTCTTGATGTGTGTATGTGTGTATATATATCGTGCCAGTGTGGAAATCAGGACATTCTGTTAGAAGTCAGCAAGCTGTCAGAAAATGACAGAATGGAAGACTAAATGAGACTCAGTTGTGTCTGTCTTTTTAAGAGCAAGTCTGCCACCTTGTGGCTGCAAATGATGAAGCATTTTAGTGAATGAAGACACCTCTGGATTTCATTATTTCATATGTCCACAATTAAGAATAAATTTACTTAAACATTTTATAAATATTATTTCAGTATTATATGATATTCTACTAATTTAACTTGCACATGCGTAGTTCAGACTGTGGTTTGTTGGTGCTGTTCATTCTGTTAGTGTGTAGATTGGTTGTATGTGGTGTGGTTTGTTGTTACAGCTCTTTGTACTGAAGCCCCTTCCCCCTCTTACTTTAGCCAGGATGACCATAAAGCTGGTCTGGGTTTAGTGTCCAGCTGTGGCTTACAGCCAATTGAGCACAGTCTGGAGAGCAGACTAGTGGGGCTATTAGTGGCCAGGCTCCTTCTCCTTGGCCATGCAGCAGCTGCAGAACCCCCCCTTTCCCCACCATTACCCAGTCAGACCCACAGCCACTCTGAAAGGGTATTGACCATCAGACCAGGGGGAGGTGTCAGGACCCTAAATCACACAGACAGACATTGCTGCAAACACATGCATGCACACACACACACACACACACACACACACACACACACTCTCCTCTTTTCAAAGCAAAAGCATGTGTTAAAGTGAGTTTGATGACAAGCTGTGCAGTACAATAAGTCACTCTTTGTAAAGACTTGGTAAATACTGTATTAGGTGACCCACTAGAGGAATGCTTGCCTTGCATATTATGACAGTGATAACTGCTTCCAGTTATAAAGGCTCATCAGACTCCAATCTCGTTTGAACAGAGAACAAATGTATACAGCATGTAAGCTCTTAAAATAGCCTAATATTTATTTATTTAATGTTGTATGCAAAAGTGTGGGTGCCTAAGTCAAATTACATGTTCTAAGTGAAAATAAGTTAACATAGCCTCTACAGATAACACACTTCTGTACTCTTTAATACAGAATTACTGTGTATTTGCTGGAATACTGTATTGACGTAGAAAATAATGTATCAAATGTGGCCTGTGAAAAAGTTAAAGCATTTTATTTCTTCCAGTGAGTTAAATTCAGCAAATAAAATTAAATTTGCAGAACAATGACATATTTAAGTGTGTTCTTAAATATGTGTTACTTTAATTTTAACTAAAATGTGTTCATTTATTTTCACTTACAACATTGGCAAAACATGTAATTCAACCAGGGGCAGCCAAACATTTGCATACTACTATTTATTTGTTTATTTAATTGTTTGTTTATTGTGTTTTTAATTCACTGTGAGGCCCTGAAGGTACTTATAAAGAAATGCAGCATAAATTAATATTTAGTTGGGAATTAAAAACAGTTAAAACAGTTAAAATATATTAGTGAATTAATATACTCAAAAGTAGTTCAAACTAATTAAGAAAAAAACAAAAATATTGTAGTTAAGCACCCAGTTGAAAGTTATTCCACACTAACAGGACATTGCAGTTGAAACCGTGTGCCCCATATTTATAAATATTCCATGATCAAAACTAAATAGTACAGTTCTACAGTTCAGGCAGTGACCATAAGCCATAATCCAACACTCTAAGGTTAGCTCCTATTGATAGAAATAAAAATAGTTGGTCTTTATTGAGTATTAGGTGCATGAGGGTGTTTGTGTATGTGTGTGTGACAGCGTGTATCTGGACTTGTGGGGGTGTTTTGGTGGTGTGTGAGGCCTGTTCTCTTTTCCTGTTGCTGTCTCTCTCGTCACCCACGCCTGCGAGTGCGGCCACTTCTGCACACCCAGACACACACTCGCACACCCACATAGCCTTGATCAGTGGGGGCGGTCCGAGGCACTGGCTGATGCCCCTGTCAATGAGGTGTGGCTGTTTCAAAAGACAGCTACAGGAAGCTTCCCCTTCCCACAGTCCACATTTACTTCCTGAGCTGGTTCACATGGCCTGCACAACTGTGCTATTCTGTTATGTGGCACTCTGTGTGAGGTCCTGCGTAAACTAGGAGTGAAAAGAATCAATTATAATTTTTAAAAATAATATCACTCATTTGAAGTATATGCCCGTTTCTTTTTTTTGGCCAGCTTAAATTTCTCTGGCTATTTTCAATACTTCAGAATACTCAGAACATTTTTGGTGAGATATGAAAGTGTGAGCAACCTTTTTAAAGTTTAGGAACCTCCACATGTAAAGGTTGTCAAAGAATTTTTCCTCGAACCTTATGTCCAAGCATAGAACCATTTACTAATCTTTTTATTGTCTGTTTGACTACTGTATAATCCAGGCACATTTGTATGTTGTTATATATATATATATATATATATATATATATATATATTTCTGTATTGTACCAAAATAATAGTTTAATAATAGTTTATAATTTGAGGTTTTATGGTGTGTTCCATCATATTCTAAAGAATTGTTATGAAATTGAATTGACCTCTCTAATGTGGACTTCTCCACCTCTTAGACTGAAGTGACCAAATAACCAAGTATTGATGATTAGGACTTTAAGGTCCATCTGCATTTCAGGTATATCTAAATGCACTTAAATTTGGAATGTACAATTCGAATAGGCAGATTTTGGAATGCTAGTATGTTCATTTGGCCCACACAGTGTGAGTTTTGGGTTAAAGAAGATGGCTAATTAAAATTCATCTAAAAATTGTAGGCCAGTATAGTTGTAAAGAAATCAGAATCGGAATCAGATCAGTTAGAGCATCCCTATCGAATATGATTAAAAATGCCTGTTTACTCAGTACACGTGTCTTATTCTATCTTATTTCTACACTGCTGTTTTTCCTGATTTTAATGAAGGAAGAATGGCCTGTTCCTGCTCTCAGCAGAAAGACACAGCACAGTGCTGCACAGCACCCCTCCATTACAGCACATGTCTGTGGGAGCTGTCAGCAGCAGCATTAGGCAGCTGTGTGTTTTATAGATTGATCTGTGTACAGAGGCACTAAGAGCTTCGCTGGCTGGAACCGAAATCTTTACATCTGTCCCTACTGCGCACCCTGAACTACTTAAGTCCAGACGGGTCAAGCAGAGGGCCGCAAAAATTCATATTTAACTTCTGGGCCTGTATGATGCAAACCACATCCCTTGTTCCATGCCATGCAGACAGAAACGTTCTCTCAAGCAGTGAGTCAGAGGAAGAGGATGGATGAAGGGCAGGAATCTCCACTGCTGAGTGGAGATCAAAGCCTGCTGTGTCAAAGAGAAGAAAGGCTATAAAAGTCAGTCGGCACAATGAAGAACCGGCTGCTGCGGATGGAATACGCGAGATAGAGATGTTAATTTTAGCTGCTTTTAAGACAGGTTTTCCAACTGAAGTCTAACCTAGTTAAAATGACTTATCAAACCACTGAATGAAAGCTTTAAATAGTATTATATAATCATCTCTTCTCGACTTCTTGATAGAATTTTCCTAACAAATCTACAGGTATGCACTGATATGGGTATTGTGGGCTGATGCCGATATCTGATATTTTTCATGTATATCTGCAGATGCCCATTCATAAGCATTGATCAAATGTAGAATCCAGGTCTGTCTGGATTAGTGTTACATTTAATTGTAGAGGATTTAGTGCAGAAATGCAGTAAAATGAAAATAAAAAAAAACCTTTAGCACAGTATTCCAGGGTCGCCTAAACATTCTGCTTTTCCAATGTAAAATAAATACATAATCAAATATCAGTGTGAAATAATGACAAAATCTAAACATCTGCCGGTCCCAATGTGATTCCGATATCACATTCATAATTTAAAATTTAAATGTTACACCGCCCTTTAAAAGTTTGGGGACACCTTGCTTTCCTATGAAGTTTACACTTTTCATCAGTTATTTCTCAGTCAGCTTTAGTTTGAGGGTATTCACACCAGAATCAGGTAAACAGTGTAGGAATTACATGTACAGTGCCCCCATTTTTAGGGGCTCAAAAGTAATTGGACAATTGGCAGTTCAGCTATTCCTTGGCCAGGTGTTTTATTCCCACATTATTCCACTTATGAGCAGATAAAAGATCTAGAGTTGATTTCAAGTGTGGCATTTTTCCAAAAAATATTTGGAAAAATAGCTCCAAAGAGTCCAAAGAGCTGTTATTGGGTTGATAAAAACAAAATAAAACCATCAGAGATACAGTAAAAACATTAGGTTTGGCCAAATCGATTATTTGATACGTTCTTCAAAAGAAAAAGCTAAGAAACGAAACAATGGAAAGCAACTATGTTGGATGACAGCAGAATTCTTGTAATTGGTTGTATTTCCAACCCCGGTCACCTGATTTGGATGTATGCTCAAAGCTGAAAGTCTGCACTTTGAGCTCATATTTATTATTTAATTTCAACTCTAAAATGCTGTACTGGACAGCTAAAACATCAATAAGTGTTATTTTTAACTCTTAACAAATATTTTTGGACTTGCATTTTGTTCAGCTTCATGTTCCCCAAAGTGTCTTCCTTATATGAAGAGCAAGTTTTGCCTAATGTTTTTTGTTTTGACAGCTTTCTTTCCCAAACTTTGTAGATGCATTGATGATGTTTTAGCCCAAACATGGATTAAACGGCAGAAAGATTTAAGTGCAGCTGTTCACTACAGCAATGAGACGTTCCCTGTGCACTATGCTGGCCTGGGCACCAGCCCTTCGTATTTAATGAGACTGATACTGACCAGTTCCCTCCAAGAGTCTGCTGGGAGATGAAGTCTTTGATTCATGTTTAAGCGAACCTTCCCATGGTCCTCTGTTTGCTGTAAGCTCTTCCTTGGGCACTCACACAATTCATCTGCTGCTACCCCACTTCTCTTCTTTTTGGCCGACTCCACTTCTGATGTCTCTCATTTGTGCTGCACTACTTTTCCCTCAGACAGCAAAACATTTCTGTCAGACACGCATAGCTGATGATGTCAGCCCAGAATCTGCTCTTCATAAAAGTGATGCAGTGTGTGAGAGACACCGGTGTTTTTATCTTTGCACTCTTCTATGCCATGAGATTGTACAGTGCTGAGCATCCATCTTAATAGAGGCTCTCTATAGGAAAAGCAAGGCTCTCTATAGGAAAAGCAAGCCTCTCGCCAAACCTTAGGTTGTTCACAAAGTTACATTAGCGATGTCATAACAGAACCTTGGAGATGCATAGGGGTCATTCTACCATTGGGATGGCAAACGGAATGAATGTTGATATGTAATTCAAGTGTAAAACATAATCAGTTATGCTGAACAACGTTAGTAAAGTTGTAACACTGCTGACTGTAAAACCACATTACTAAAATCTGAGCTTCCCTAGAACATAGTCCTCTGGCACTTTCAAAGTTTCAAAGTCATATTGTATATAGAAAATTACAAAAATTGCATTTATGTTGTGTTATTTCAGTTTAAAAGTCAATGTTTCGTGTGTAACACCACTGACACAATTTTGTTTGCGACACGTGAAGTTGTATTTTAGAGATTTAAGAATTAATTTAAGATTTCACTAACTACTGACTTTTTGGAGATCGTTTTTGCTTTGAGAAATCCATATTCAGGTATTTCATCAAAATAAAATGATATTTGAAAATGTAAAATAATTTTAACATAGACAATCATTTCAATGCATTTTTTACAATTAAAACTGAAAAAAACATTTAAATTGTCTTTCATAAAAATAATATTTCAGTGTCTGAGAGGAGCTGGTTTTCGTGCACAACATGACTAAAAATCACTAAAATTAAAAAAAAAAAAGAGTTCTGATAACTTCTATTAGTTAAATTAGGAATAGACCAAAGAATACACAGCCATCAACTTTCTGTAGTTTAATTTTATTTTGAACTCATTTTCATGGCTTCAAAGTTGTGTAATGCCATTTGCCACTACAATGGTAGAATGACCCCCCCTACACGATGTGTCCCTGAGATGCTCTTTAAAAGATAGAGTCAAGGGGCAGAAGGATGACAGGAGGGAAGACGAAAGAAATTGGAGGTGAACAAATCCATGAATTTTGAAAAATTGACAGCCGCTTGCTTTCTGACCACCTTGAAGATTTGCCCTTCTGTCCAGTCACAGCTGTATCACAGCTCTGATGGTTGAGTCACACTGGAGCCTGGGTTTAATGAAGACATTGGAACAGGCTTCACTCACATGAAATGATGAGAAATTAAACGTTGTTTTTTGTGTGTGTGTTCTTTCCCTCAGGAGTACGATACCTTTGGCTGGTGGGTGGGGGAGATGAGAGGTGTGATTGGCATAGTGCCCAAAAACTACCTGACAGAGCTGTACATACTCTGAAGAGCTTGAAGTAAGTGAGAGGAGGGTTCATAGCAGTCACAGCATTCTTACACCTGTTTCTAAAAACAGTACTGAAAATACAAAGCCACTTTAATAGGGTTGAGCAATACGGCAATAATAAAGCATTATGATACTTCACAATGCAAGATATGCATCATATATATATATATATATATATAGGTGTTGTCAGAAGACAACCTTGTATCTCCAAAATGGTAACTTTACAAGAAAAGGAAAAAACCTTCTTTACTTTTAATGTCAATGGAACTAGATGTTTTTCCAAGTAATTTTGGGTCATTTCTTTTGGTCCATTTGTCATGAAATTAACATACAGTGTAAAGGGTAACAGGTATTTTCAATACAAAATACAAAATTTGAGATATGAGGTTTTCTTCCGGCAGCAGCTATGATATATATATATCACACCTCTACTCTTTCACATTCTCTGAGACTGCAAACATATCTGCCAGTTTCTGTTTCTTAACCATCCTCTTACTAGAATATGTTGTTTGTATGTTATTTCTAGGGGCATCTGGGTCATCCTCTCAAGTTATTGCATTTCATGTTAATTCCTTTGTGTTCCATGGCAGTTTTACTGCTGACTATCTATACATCAACCAGACCTCAACAGCAGAGATAAGTTTAAAACCCATCTATGTGAAACATGTAAGAATTAAGAGTTAATTTGTTCAAATAGGCTCTGCTGTATTAAAACGATTTGAAGAGATTGTTTGCATTCATTTTTGTATTTTATATTTAAGCAGTATTTGTCAAAGTTAAATGTGGTGTTGTTTAAGAATTGTATAAAATAAAGTTTTGTGCCATGTGTAAATTTTTGAGGGTTTACTTGTTTGGCTCTGGCTGTGAAGTGTCTGTATAATGAAGGTTTTGTATTTCAGCCACCAGATGGCAGTAGAGATTTATTTTTTAGGATTTCAGGCAGGCTCTTTGTTTTGAATTCCAGATAAATGCCTTAATTTAATAAATTTAATAAATTAATAAAAACACCAGCAAAAACTTGGCCCAGTGATTATTAGTCCTTCTTTGTCTCTGATGCATGAAATGAAGTTTTATCAGATCTATCCTATTTTCTACATTCATGCTTTTGATATGTACTAAAATTAACATACGTTGAAGGAAGCGCCTGACCTTTTTATGCTCAAACATACAAACAAATCAAACAGCACTTATTTAGCTTCTGGATTGGTTATCTTGTGTGGGAGAGTTGCTTGGTATATTGGATTGTATCTTCATGGTCCACGCGCACCGCTGCACTGACATCCACAGAATGTCTGGGCACTGGAGTGAAAAACTTAATTAACAACACGAGTCAGACCGTTACCTTCTCAGAATGCTCCCAAATGAATTGTTTCTATTAGCATATTAACTCATTCAGCCAGGCTGCATGCAATAAATACTGAAGACGTTTTAAATGACTGATTACATAATGCTGTGATGTATACTAATGCAGATCTTCGAGCCTTTGTACCCAACCGACCTTATCCTTCCATGACCGCTTGAATTCAGCTACAGTAAACAACATTAAAACAAGGAATTACTCTCCACTAAAACGGAATAACTTTAAGTATTCCCTAATCTTATACCTCCACCTGTGTGGATAGTCTCAACTACATTAACATGTATACCTTTTTGCTTAAAAAGCACCAGCCAAGACATGTCATCCTAAAGTTCTCCTTGATTACTCTGGGCCCATATGCATGCGGATTTGCCAGTTTATTAGGTATATACACACATTGGCCCTTTTTTCAGGTACTTCTATATAGGTGCACTGTGTAGGTTTACAGTTACTGACCATAGCCCATTTGTTTCACAGTTTGTCAACTTGACCCCCAACCCCACCCCATCTATCAATGTAAAGGAACCACCATATGGGAATGGGGCTACCATAGGACCACTGCTGAGCAGTTATTGTTTTGGTGGTGGACCATTTTCTGCACAGCAGTGACACTAACATATCACAAATTTTTAAACACTTTAGTGTTTTAAACACTTTAGATGGATAGGATAAAGAGCTGAGATGAGCAACAGTCAGTAACTGTGGACCTACAATGCAAATAATCTGGCAACTCAATATTTTAGATAGTTAAGAGAAACAGAAACAGTTATTATCTAGGATCAGCCACTTTCTGTGTCTGTAAACATCTTCATTATGATATGAAAAAAATGGCCAAATCTGGGTTTCAAATGATATGTAGTATTTTCAGTCCTACACTCTAAAAAATGATGGGTTATTACATCAACCCAAAGGCTACGTTACTGAAATTGGGCCACATATATGGGTTATTTTGTAATTTGCTGGGCAGTTTCTGAAAACCCAGCGCTCCTGGGTTGGCATCGCGGACCTGAAAGGGAACATGCACATATCCTAACGTCTCTACATCGGTTTCCCTCTCGTTTGAAGAGGAAGAACGAGCTGATTAAAGTAAGTGACTAATTATTTATCGATTAGTGGCGCTATGTTACGTTACGTTTGGTGAAAATATATTGATATGCGTTAGACATATGTTCTTTTTTATTTATTTTGGCTCACAATTACGATAGAAAAGTGTAAAATGAGCAAAATAAAAAAAAAAAACTAAATGGTAAATTAGCCAAATTAACTAGCTAGCTAACTAGCAAGCTGAACGTAGTGTTAAACTGGCCAGTGTTAAACTGGTCAGCTAGCTAATATAACGCATTTATATTTTGTCTACGTATTTCAGACTTAACTACCTGGGGTTTTGGCACAGTTATCTATAAAAACCGAAAAGTAGCTATCTCGCTAGAAAATTTATTATAGTTTGGGAACTATCAGTTAGCTACATTAGCTAGCTAGCTACCGTCATATTAGCTTCATAGCTCTAGAGTAAAACTAAAAAAGCAACATTCACGTGTCGCACGTCTTCGGCATCCTTTAGCATGTAACGGTTCTCGTTTAAATGGTGAATACCAAAACGTGATGTGAAAATAGTAAGTTATATGCCTTTCCAACCTACAAACGTTTCAAATTCTCAGTACCAAAGTGCTACAAGTATTAGGGCAGCAGGCTTCAAACAGGGTTCTTTCCTGGCCCATGTACTGCAAATGTTAGCATTTTAGTTTTGCTAACACTCTGAATTCACCTTATGAAGACGTCTTTAATTATTTGATGAGTTGACAGGTGTCGTTGATGAGGAGGAACGATAAACGCTGCAGGGCTGTGACCAAAAAGGAACCTGCATTAGAGTGTACGTTCTGTTAACATTGGTCATTCACACATCTGCTTTAGCTTTCAGGATTGGCCATAGGATCACAGTAAGATAATAATGACTACACATCTAATGCTTATCTGGCCGGTGTGTTGGAAGAGCAGCAGTAACGGAAGAATGGATGTTTACTCTATACGTTGGAACCTGGCTACATTCCAGGCACATTTTTAGTGCATTTAGAGCAATTCTGCAAACTGAGAGCTCCAACCTGAGTTAAAGGCTCTAAAACACATCACACACCTGTCAGGACCTCAAACAACGACGTATTTGCCAAACTAAAGGCACTTCAACCATTAATAAGAATTAAGACAGTGAGATCATTTTTTTTAACGGGACAGATTCATGAAAATGAGTATAAGTGTATTTTGGTAATTCATCACTTCCACGCACTAACTGCATAAAGCCTGTGAATAATTCACAGCACCTTCATTACACCATTTTGCTTTGTAACAGTTTGCCAAATCTATGCTGCTGCCACATTCTGTTCCTGACGTTAGTGAAATGTGTGCACAATTTAAATCAGGCGATTGACTAAGTACAAAACATTTCACTTTTTCCTTAATGGACTTCTCGGTTCTCTTGGCAGTGTTTTTGCACAACCTATAAAGTCAGAAGGCAGTTTCGTCCCAGACAAGATGTTTAGTTCTGAACATGTTGTGCTTTGGTCATTTCAACACAGTGTCATTAATAATTAATGATCCAATGGCATGGCACGCATGCCCGAATCCCTTTAATGCATGCGTTGTGTTTTATTAATGAGGTATCACATGGTCTGATTTGGAGATTTGAACTTTCTCCATAACTTAACCTTTCTATTACGTTAAAGGTTGTTGTTTTGTCTCTCCTGTGCCTAATCTGGCTTTACTGTTAGGATTTAAACTTGCAGTGTAGTCTATAATTCTGTCAACAGAGTCTCTGCTATCTCTGCACCAGTGGTTGTCGGTAATTACAGTAACAGTTGTTTCTCAATAGTTCTGCTATCTGGAATTTTCCTTGGATCACCTGGTTGTTGTTGATTTTCCAGCCAATTCCAGGTTATGTTTTTTTTTTTTTTTGTCAAATTAACTTCTTTCCTACACAGCTCTGAATTCTACATGCTGAATCATCGCAGCCTCCAAAATAAAGCACCAAGGGCAAAAACTTTGTATATAAGTTCTTGTAGATATAAAGAAACATCTTTGTATTTGTTATTTCTTTTCTTATTTTGTGGTGATGCATATTGTAAATGTACAGTATCAAACAAAATGCAACCTGCAGAATGTAGATCTCATGCAAACTTGATGTGAAAAGATGTTAGGAAAAATGTAAGAAATATTTAATTTGCATTTTACATGTCAGACTGAATTCTGTATCAACAGCTGTTGAAATGTTGTTTGGAGAACACAGTGAAACTTGGTTTAGAGAAATGCTCCAAAACCACTAAGCTAAATGGTCTGTACCTTTCAGCAGCTTACTTCTGAATGTCACAGAGAGCAAGAGAGAGTAGCAGAGAGGCTGTAAGACACCTGTGGTGGGAGGTGGGGGTTCATTAGTATGCATTATACATTTCTCTCCAGTTCCTGGAGACAGAAAGGGGCGGGTGATGAGGGGGGAATCATCTGTCCTCCCCAACGGGCTCTGCATTTTGACTTAAGGGACTAAAACAGAGGAGAGAATAGTGCTATTTAATAGCAAATCATATAGAGAAGTTCTATAGAATATTGAGTAGTTCTATAGAATGTTGAGTAGTTCTATGGAATGTTGAGTGGTATTATCAGAAACACAGGAGGGCGGCTTCATTTACCAAACATAAGTAAAGGTTTCATTATGAGCATCGTGCATTAGTCAAGGTTACAACAATCACTCATAGTCTCTGTTCTCTTTGAGTTGATGGGAAAGCTCAGCTCTAAGAATGGGCGGATCACTACAACATAGATACTGTTTGTTTTTCTGAGAATTAAGGTGCAAGCGCTTTCTTTTATAACTGTTCTGTGACTACTAAATACACCACAGTGTTTACTTGAGATGTTACCACTATTTGGTAACAAATGTTTAAGACAGCTTGACTTTATCATGGAGAAAACTTCAGTGTTAAAGAAGAGGACACCTATTTTTTAAAAAAATAATTGAATAGTTATGTGATATTTAGGTTTTAAACACTTGTGTTTATTTGTTGTTGCAGTCTAGCATTCCCTAACTTATTCGCAAAGAGGCAAACAGCTCAAATAAGCACTGTTTAACGTGTTTAAAAAGCTATAGAAAAGTAAACATTCAGATATACATTTGGATTCACAACGCATCACTTGGTAACTGAATTCTGCCATTGGTATTACTTGTTATCGAGATGCTAGTATTGTTATTACTACTCATGGGAATGTGTATTACTTGATGTTGGGATGTTATTGTTATTACTTATCATAATAATCCTAGTACTGGTTTAATTTGATCAGAATAATAGTGTTGCTGTTACTTTCTGTGGGAAAGCCAGCATTGGTATTACTTGATATGCTAGTATTGTTATTGCTTGGTTTTGATGTTAAAACACTGAAATTACTTTCTGATTTATTGTTGCAGTATAACCTTAGCATTTCAAAGCAAAATTATATAACAAAATGATGTAAATCATTCACGTTATGCAGTTGGTGCGTTTTTAAAAAGAGTTTTAGAAAAGTGTTACTATTATTATTACTTGGCATAGTACAGTTGTATCATCCATTTCTCTCTCTCTCTCTCTCTCTCTCTCTCTCTCTCTCTCTCTCTGTCTCTGACTGCACTGGTCTTGTTTTATAGGACC